GCTGGATATGAAGTGCTTGAAGTAAATTCTAACAGGATTCTTTGGAACATGTATGAGAGATGAGTTTTCCTTTAATCTTCAATTTTTAATTGGAGCGAAGAACAAACAACTGAACAGATTTATCGAGAAAAGATATGTAATTCTTTTCAATTAAGTTCTAAATTAAGTAATGATGTGCTAATCAGTTCTGTAGCAATAAAAAGGATTTTCTATCATTAAATGTTGAAGCCCAAGTTCCCAAGTGACTGAATGTTCTGTGTGTACTAGACGTGAGACTTGACAGAAACTTTCATTGTAAAATAATTGACTGACATTGTATGGGTCTACATGAAGGATAGTATATTGTCTCAAGAGTGTTCTAGAAGCTAGAAGATTTTTTTTCAATTCATCTGGTTTAAAATATAGAATTGAGTGTTCTCTGGCAGAGAAGTTCCAGCTAGGTACTGATTTCATAAATAGTCTATTGGTTATTTAATACCAATTGAATGTGGCAACAACCGCTGTCAAAATTCACATTTTTGCTGTATTCAGTCATGGCACACGAAAATGCCTTTTTCCAAGGGCAAGCTAAAGCACTGAAGTTTTGTCCTGCATCTTCCATCTAGTCTTCATCTACTGCATTGCTGAATGGTTTAAGAAGTTCTGTGGAGCTCCTTCATACTTTTTCAATCCTCTGACATTTGCTTTTAGCTTTAACTAAGCTGTTCAGGGATAACACATGCAGAATTCTCACTGTGTGAGCTGCTAACATTTTACTTGTAAATGTAGTTCCTGTTTTTTTGTCTGAACATGGAAATACATATTTGAAGTGTGATTATTTTAAGCCAATTAGGCTTTTTTTTTTCTGCTGCAACATACTCTGTTTTTCATTGGATTCAGTAGTGAAATGTTAGGCTGTCTTTGAACTGAATTATATAAGAACAAAAGATAATATTCAAAACTAGTTTATCTGTGAGGACATGTTTCTTTGCTTGTAAGCAGATGTAATTATTTGGAATGGTATTGTAATTTTTTATGTTCCTTTTCTAGGCCTTTATCAGACGCTGCTTAGCATACCGAAAAGAAGATAGATTTGATGTCCATCAGCTGGCTAATGATCCTTATCTTCTGCCTCATATGAGGAGATCAAATTCTTCAGGAAACTTGCATATGACTGGGCTAGCAGCATCCCCTACACCACCTACTTCAAGCATTATTTCGTACTGAAATTTCTCCATTTGAGGAATGGCATGATACCTTTGTGTAGTTTCCAGATGCAGACTTGAGCTTGAGAGCATTTGAGTGTTTTTACGCAGGACAAGTTTGATAACTGTGTTTTCAGACAGAAGTCCTCCTACATAGTGTCATTTGTATGATTGGAATGGATCATGGACTGTGAATAAATGTACCCTTCAGAGAATAACCTTTAAACATTGAAGGATGACACTGCCTGTTGCACACTAACAGGTATACTGTGTTTAAGACTGAAGAAAAGGTTTTTAGTTTTTTCTGGGGAACATTGTAAATAATCTTTTTAATACTTAAAGTACATTTGGTTGATACTGGAAAGTTCTAACAGGAAGGGTAGTTTTTCATTATTTAAATTAAAAAAAAAAAAAGAAGGTAATGAGCAAATTTAAAAACACAGGAGAAAAATCTGTGCCTGGTTATAAACTAAATAAACTGCCATGTATCCAAGACATTGATCTTTTGAAACCAAAGTAAGAAGTGCAGGAAGGTCAAAGCTATGTTCTATATCGGATTCTTCAGATAAAATTATAGTATTTTATTTGGCAGCTCAGGCTTGTACCTCCAAAAATGTGGTGTTCTTTCACAGAATTTTGATTGGAAGGTGATAGGGAATTCCCGGTACTTATTTCTCAGATAGGTTGCTAATTTTGAAATAGACTCAGTTTTCTAAAAATACTATACTTGCTGTGGTATTGAAACTTGTGAAATTTTTCCAGGCCTCTGATAAAAGCAAGCAACAGTATGAAACCAAATGCAAACAGGTCATGTATAATGTTCTATGCAGGAATAATGATAAATTCCCTTCTAGCTCTATTGTAAATTGTTGTACAGATGTCACATTTTCAGTTAAATTTCAGCAACTTATTCCTGTACAAATGTTTAAAGTATGGCTTTTTCTAATTGGATATTGTATTTTTTTTAAGTCTCCCTCAAAGCGCTTTTAATTGCTGCTAAACGCTGTTGCTTTTACTTTCGCAAAAGAATCAAATGACCTCCTTAAGGTGCAAGTCAACTGTACGTTATAGAGAGACTGAGTAGGTAATTTGTTAACAATCAAGGCATGTAAAACAGATCTGTGTTGGCAATATACAGTACAGTTCTTTAAGTCAGTTTATTGCGCTCTTAACCTGTCGAGCGCATCAATACTAGATGTAGAAGTTGCTCATGGCTATTCTCTATTTCTGGAAGTTCCTATCAACAAGGAAATGTTTCTTGTGGCTTGTACAGATATTTTAAAATGTGAAACATTTTCTAACTGCCTTGTATGGTAGAAATTTATTTTTCAGAACAGCATATCTCTCTCCCATTTGCTATTCTTTTTACTGTCCCATTCTGGATGCTGAATACCTATATGTAATTTTGTCCATGTTTCAGAAAAAGGAGGCTGTATTACCACAGGTTTTCATTTAGTATTGTACAGTTAAACTGTTGCTCTTGTTTCTGATGTTGCAAGCCATTTTGTTTTCATTGTATATAAAGAAACATTAACTGTCTCTTTAAGATGCTGCTGAAATTGTAGAGAATGTAGCCAAAACAGTAATAAACAATGACAGTTGAAATTTCAAGGTTTTCATTGTATGTTTTTGCATTTCAACAAAGGGCAAATCAGTTTACCATATCACTGAGCTACATTTAGCTATTAAAAGCAGGCTCTCTTCAATTACAAAGGGCTAATAATACAATAATTCATTCAAGTAACGTTAGGGCTGAAAGGGGAGAATTCCATAAAACTTCAGGCGTCTGTCATAATGAAGTAACCAATGCATTATTTCATTGACTAGACCTCACAAAAACAATGTCAAGTATTTCAGTAGGTCTTTATGGATTTTTTTAACCATAGGATAAAGTTAGACTCAATGACATGTACTGCCTTCACATTACACCGGAGTGCTGGGACTGCACCCTTTTCATCATCTACAGGGTGAAACCAAGGAGTCTTTTGCTGCATTGTCAAAGTGCAGGGTTCAAGAAATATGCTATAGCTGCACACTTATGTGAGATTTCATTATTTCTTACTCTGCGTGTGTCAGTCTCAGGAGTTAAAGACTATTTTGCCTAAGGAAAAATGTAGGATTGTGTTAACTGTATATTTATTTAACTGGAATGTATTGTGGTAACTTCTAGTTTATTGAAGTTCAGCAGTATGTTAGAGAACTGCTTAAGTAACTAAAAATTGTATAGCTACCTAAAGATAAGGGAGATTATGCATTGTACGTGCAGACTTGTTTTTCTTGTTAGCATCTGGGAATATAGCCTGTTGTGGCTGAATACATGACACTCCAGCTTGACAAATACATACTTCTGAAATCTAAGCACTCATTTTTAGTAAGTTTCCCCATAGAAATAAAGAAGAGTCACCATCTCATCTTTTGAAAGAAAGTTGCAAGATTTTTGCCTCCAAAGAACAGTCGTGTTTGTGTACAATACCATCAATAAAAGTTTTTTATTCCCATGTGGAGTCGCTCTGTGGTCACAAGATGTCCAAGTTAGAGTCTTCAGTGCCTAAGATTCGGCAATTTGTGCTTGGGATAGAAGTACCCCTGAGGCCGAATCTAAAGGCCTGAATTACTGCAGGTTGTCAAGAAATGTTGATCTGCTTTAGGTAGTCCATGTTATTAGTAATTTAGTCTGTATTTCATGTGTATTTTACTGATTTCATCACACACCATCCACTGCTATATTTCCTAAACACACCACTGATTTAGCATCAGGTAGATGAGGAATGAAGTTAAGCTTCATCAGTTTTTATTGAATTATTGAATCTTGGAAGTAAAAGTTTTATTTTCTTTTATACTCACAAATACTTCAAAATGTCTACATTTACTGAAAGATGCTAAAAGCCTATGTTGCTATACTGTATAAACACCCATGTATGAAACAGAAGTGACTGCAAAATAAATTCTGCATTTTTAACTATGATTATAGTTAAAAAGTTAACTATGATTATAGTTAACTGCAGCCGCAGTTAACAATGGTTGGCTTGTTTCTTTAAAACAACCATGTTTTGGCACTATTCTATTTGTGTTTCTACTGAAATTGTTCAAATCTTACTGTGGAACATTATTCACCCTTAACTTGGTCTATGCTGGCTGTTGATAGATGCAGCTTTCCGAGAGGCTAGTTAATACTTGAATTTTCAGAAAAGTGCTTTTAACTCTAGCAAGAAGATGGGAAGAGTGTTGTGTTGCTGGCCAGCTGCCCAAGTGCTATTGACCACACACACCGCAGCTATGAGCAAACTGCTGCATAATTAGAGAAGCTTTCAAAAGCCCACAAAGCCGCCAGCCCTCTCGGTATGCGAGTCACGGGTGTGTGAGGCACAGTGCCGCTGCCCGTGCCACGCAGCTTGGTGGGGGATGCAGGGCACTGCTGGGACCCTGCATGGAAGCTGGGAATTCAAGCGGATGACTGGCTAGGTGGTGTTTTGAGACCCGGAAAAGGAAAATATGCCTTGAGTCTTGAGACATCCCAGGAGATCCTGCTCTTACTTTGCCATCTCCATGATTATGGGAAAACACAAATCCAAGGCAGGAGAGCAAGAAGGAATCGCTGTTTGTAACCAACCCATGTCAGTGCCACTGGGCTTTACATCTTGTGTCTCCCCTGCCCACAAGCTGAGGAGTACAATTTAAATTACTTGGAAGTCTTTCCTTTCCCTGTTGCACTATTGTGGGCTGAGTGGCCCTGAGCAGGGTGCTGAGGGCAGACCTGTATCTGCAGGCCACACCTATCTCCCCCAGCCTGTCCAGCTCTCTCAGCCAGTCAGGTCGGGCCACATTGTGTCTGGGGGGTGTGTACAGGGCCCCGCTGGTGCTCTGCTCCAGCTCTGCTCGCAGTTGCAGCTCTGCTGGGGACAAATCTGCTCCTGCCAGGGCACAAGGCCCACCGTGCCCACCCGGCCAGGTGGCAGCTGCCGCCATTTTGTTGAACTGCTGCTGGGGGAAGTGGCAGCCACCAAAATGGTGGGTGTCTCTGGGACATTTATTTCTCCTCAGAGGGCTCTGGGACTTGCTGGTCTACTCCAAAAACAGGTAATTTTGTTGGAAAGGGAGCCCGGGGGGGCTGTCTGGTGGGGAGGCTTGGGCAGGGTGTCAGGAGCTGGGACAGACACAAAATTTGGAGGCTTCCAATGTCAGTGCCTAAAACACTTTGTTCTCTCACTTGCTGTTGTATTTTCAAAGATATTTTATTTGTGTATCAACTGCTGTCAGAAGAGAGAGACTGGTTTCATAAACTAGTGGTGTCTTGCTACGTGGGACTGAGGGTGTTTCACTGTTGCAGGCTCACTTTCTGTTAGGCCTGCCAGACCACCATGTCTGTGCTCAGTCACCAGGCCCAGGTATGCCACATTTTTGTAGTCCCAGCATTATCCTGTCATGGACTTCGGGCCATAAACAGCCCTTCTGAGGGCTCCTGCTCCCTGAAGGCCAGTACGAGCAGTGCCATGTTCCTGTCACCACAGACTGACTGAGGGAGCACAACATGGCTGACAGGCCCGGTGCCACATGCCGGCTGCCTGGACGGCCAGGAGGCACGGGCAGCAGGGCTGTGTGGGCCTCAACACAGACCAGGCAAGGGACCTGAAAAACTCTCTGAGGTACGTCCTGACAAATTTGTCTACCCAATTCTTAAAGATAGCTGTCAGTGGAGAGTACCCCACCAGGAAACTCCAGCTTTTCTTCATAACCTTTTTCTTGCTGCTTGTTAGGCCTGTTAGTTTCTGTCCTATGTATGCTGTGAAGAACAGTTCCCTGTCATGCTGCTAATATATATATGCAGATGATTAGTTGTTTGTTTGTTTGTTTGTTTTTCTCAGTTTTCTGGTTATTGTGTTTTTTATGTAAGACTTAAAGGCCAAAAATTAGTTTGGTAATAGATTTTGACTACTTGAAAGGATAGATTGCAGCCTAAGCAACTATGTGACCATAAGGTACCATTAGAAGCAGCATATAAATTGTTTGCTGCTATTTTAACAGAATGAACAGTTAGTGATACAAACATAAAAAGATTTCAAACTGCCTGTTTCCAGCTTTCAGGTGTTTGTTGTTGTATGTGCCTCAGAGTGATACCTGAGGGGCTGGAAACATCTACTCTAAAAGAGGATTCAGTTTGTAAAAAATCTGAAATGCTCTAATAATTGCCTGATGTCTGTCCTGCCTCAGCAAAGTTGCTGTTTTGCACTAGCCCAAAGGCCTTTTAATACTCAAGTTAGGTGCTGTGCTTGCTTACGTGGCTGTGGGTGAGAGAAATGACCCAAAATAACCCTTTTGTTTGGGGCAGAAACATGAATGTTTAACCAAGTGCTGATTTTGAGTTCAGACTTGCTCACCTAAGAGTGGCTTGCAACTTTCTTAGTTTTATTAAATAGGAATGTTAGTAGAGTAACTTCTGAAGGTGAACCTTTTCTCTTGGTCTGTCTCTTGTACTCGGGTGAGCAAATTGCCTTGATCTACTTTTCCATGGAGTTAAATGATGAAGGATTTGTGTCGAACATCTGCTTTGCTTTCTGTGCAGTCCCCATGTATTTCACTTTGAACTGAATGCAGGTTTTTTGAGCGTTCTCTGGAGTTAAGACTATTATCCTCTGAACAAGTGAGGCTCTTCCATTATTTATGTCACATATTCAACTCCTAAAAGAATGTCAGTAAAACTCCTGCTGTTGAAGAAATTAATTTTTTCTATTATTCTTAAGGTGTAAGTAATAGAGTGAGTCACCCTGTGATCTTTTTATTGTGCTATGCTTCACGAACCAGTAAAATTCTGTGTGTAAATGAAAGGAAAAGGTTTTCCCTAGAAATCTCATTTTATATCTAGTGTTTCTAGAGCTAATCAGGTATCATTAAGAAATTACATGATGTTTTAATTCAGAATCCATTTGTTCAAATCTGTGGCTGTCTTCCATTCATTGTTAAAACACACGAGGACTTTCTGTTCTAAAAAGTGATGGAGATCAAAACATTTGCTGTAGCCTCAGAGGATGTGCTGCCATCAGACCAGCAGGTCAGCTAGCAAAGGAAGGTGTTTGCCTGCCTTTGTGTGGAAGCTGGGCCACGATGTTAAGCAGCATGTGGCTCTGTAGTCTACTGAAACAAGCATTTCCCAGGCAGAGAATCCTGCGTCCTGAGCCCTGAGCCCAGTGCTGTTCCTGTAGATTGGCAGGTGTCTTTTCAGCATAAAACACCAGCGGTCCCTGGATATATCACCTTTGTGTTTGCTATTACTCATGGGAAACCATTCTGCTCATACACAGGGTTCGAATCGGTTTTGCACGTGGCCTGCTGATGCGTATTCTTGTTACTTTCAGCACTGGGGCACACAGGGGTGGCATAACTGCTCCCCTCACTGAGACCAGAAGGGAGTCCTCAGCAGAGCCAGGGACTTCAGTAAGATCTGGGAACAGATATAGCTCAAAGAGACGTCCAGTGCTGCAGTGCCTGTCAGTACCTTGCTGAATCAATGTCATAGTTTGTTTTTGATGATCAAATGCTAAACTATTTATAGTTGAGGACAGAACAAAAGGAGTCTTTATGCACTCTCAAATCAGCCTGTTCTAAATGTTTTTCACTAACAGAAAACTACAGTAGTTAAAATAATCAATTGTAAGCAGTTCTTTGATACGCAGCATCTTGTGGTAAATACATCAGCTGTATGGACAAGCATAGGGTTGTTTTTTTCTGAATGATTCAGTAGCTAAGTGTCATAGACATCTGCAAGCCCATGTCTTGCAAGTAGTTTATGCATAGTATGTACAAAGATGATGTTACAGATTGTAGTACTCAGGTAGGATCTAGCCCTACGTGCTTCCTATTGATCAAATTCCTTTTAACCATTCTTATACACTGTTTGCAAACTGCAATGGAACAGTGGGAACTGGGGCTTTGCAGAGGCTGAGACCCTGTTATGTTTAAATATGCAAATGAGTGTATGGATTTAATGAATACATAATTAAATAATAAAGCCAACAGAAGCCTGAAAAACCAATGGTGTGTCCGGGAGTGCTGCAGCGTGTCGCCGTGCTGCCATATTCCATGACGCATTGAGGATGCATTCCTGAAACATGCTGTGGTTAGTAGTTGGATGGATAGTGAAGGCTCCTGTAAGAATCACTGTAGTGGAGGTGCGATGTGTGCAGGGCCTTGAGAAATGCTGTTTGAATAGCCAGGGATATATTTTGCAATAGGAGCCCTTTCCTATTCATATCCCAGGAGTTCTTCCAGAAGAGTTCTCACTGCAAGACAAAGACAGATGAGAGGCCTTGTTCTGACTTACCTGTTGGGACATGCTCGTGCTTTCTGAGGCCTGGAAAGGAAAGCTGGAAGAGGGAACTGACTCCCTGTCAGCATCAGTGAGAGCTTGGCTGGACAGAGCCCCGAGAGCTGTGCTGCTTTGTGCATGCGTGAGCAGATCCTGGAGGGCTTTGCTTGACTTCATTGCTAGAACAGCAGTTATCACTAAAAACAACAGGAATTACATCGACTTAAAGGATTCAAAGAAGTAAAACATGTTCCCCTATGCTCCCCAGTGTCTATCTGATCTGCCCTTGGGCTGAGCATGACAGAGGAACGGGGCCTGCCAAATGATCACATACATGGGGCTGACTTAGCAAGAAGTTGCAGCTTCTTTTATTCTCCAAGGTTTGTCCCTCTAAACAGCTCCATGAAGAGTTATTGCACAGCTTTGTACATTTGCATAATGGAAAACTTTCTTCTTGACAAAAATAATCATCCTAACTAGTGCACAAATGGTTCTTTTCAGGCTTACAGCTGCGGCTCAGTGGCAGCTGGCAGAGCTGATTCGAGTACTGGAATACCTTCCCTGCGTGCCTTTCTATTGAAAAGCCAGGTAAATAACATACTAATTGGCAAACCGTGCATAAGGACTTGCCCATAATGAATTTAGAGCATCATATTCCATTGGTTAAATGGTGAGTCGTGTCTGTTTATATGATACCATTAAATGCTCATGTTGCTTGTTGGGTTACATAAGGCGATATGCAATGCTGAGTCTGAGCTCATAAATTGTCTTCTTAGAGCTGTCACACGTCAGGACAGTTTTATTACTGAGCCTAAACCCATTCCAGCCTAACAAATCAGCATGTTGTAAAGGTTATTGTCATATCATACAATTAAGAAAACCCAGCTACATAAAATAGAAGAATTATTCTCACATCCTTTATTATCTGTCCCAATTCCTGTGTTTTTAATGAATCTCACCCTCTTCCCCTTACATTAATGCCTTAGTTTACAGGTAGAAGTAACACATCAAGATACAGGTGGCAAGTTAGACAAAACATGGTCCTAATGGTGAAAACTATAAAAAATTACAATTTTTTTCTCCTTAGCTCAGAGACCACTGAGCTTAGAGACTGCTGTGAGGAATTCAGCTGAGTTACACCAGGAAAGCTTTCCTGTTTGGGATGTGCTCTGATGTCCCCTGTTAACATCAGGCAGTGATGTGACGGCCTCTGTTTTGTGTGTTTTTTTTTTTTAATCATTATTTTTTATTCAGTGAATCACATCATATTTTTTCCCATTTGTATTGCAAGCAATTGCTTAGGTTGCAAGGGATTTTGTCAGTGCTGTTCTAGGGAGCAGTACAGCCAGGGCACAGAGAAAAGCCGCTCTGAGCTGTTCCTATTTGAAACTGGGGAAAAGCACCGGGCGTCAGCTAGGTAGGGCTCCAGACAGGTGGTGTTGACTGAAAAGGAGCTTCAGTTGTGCTCACTTAGCTAACCTGCTGTGTGCCCACGATGTGTTCAGACAGCCACCATGTACTGGGTGGCTACCAGGTGAATAGTTGTAACAGCTAATGGCAAAGTTTCTTGTGGCATTCCTTATTCAGCTGTACAGAAAGCAAGGCCAGAGCACGTGGGGGAAAGCAATGGTGCCTGGGCCACCACAACTGTATGCGCGCTGTGCTGCTCATAAATCAGCATCAGCCAAACCAAACCTCGCCCCAAAGACTGGGAGGTGCCACTGAAGATTTGCACCAGAGGTCTATGCCAGCAGCCCGGGCAGAGGAGAAGCACCTGGTGTCCTCTAAGTGGCAAAGCAAGCTGCTGCACTCAGGTGCTCCCCACCTGTTTGCATCTTACCTGCCTGCACCCACCTGCCAGAATCAGAGGCTGAGACATACAGCTTGGGCATGGGAATAGCAGAGCGGCAGATGCTGGGACTGAGCCGTCAGGATTGCTCGTCCCTTTGGGATGTTGGACCAGGCCTACCTTCCCTCTTGCAGGCAGAGGATTTAAATGCTAGTGACACTGATTTTCTTAGAACTTGGCATCCTGTATCGGTATTTGCTAGTATTCGGCTATGCTTGACTAGCTATTGGTTCAGCAAATACTGAGAGAAAACTGTTTCTCTTACAGCTTGTGTAAAGCGGGGAGGAATGTTGTGGAACAAAGGTGGAGAGAAATTTGATGGTTTATATAATCCCTCTGACTTGGAGCATTAGTCTTAAAATAAGGATCAAAGCAGGATTGAAGTGTGACTTCTGTTTGAGGATTCATGGTATCATTTAAAAGAACTTTATACTTAACTGTGACCATTCTGAGTTTTGTCTTCTCCATTCTGGTGTTAACCCCAGACTCTCATTAAGAAACTTGGGAATTTTAGGTGTTCAGGTACCATAATGATGACTCTATAAAAGTCATTGATTAATACCTAAAAGTTTGAAGCAAGATTCACATAATGGATTTGTAACTGAAGATGGCTGGAAATATTGTAATTCAGCTCTTCATCTCTGTTCTGGAGTTGATTCTTAGTACTGACTGCCGTTCTTATCATATGAAATGACAAAATCACAACTCAGACTCCCTTTGAAGTACCACATTTATCATTCTCAAGTTACACATTTCCTTGTGATGGTCACTGCTTACAATTTCTAACATGCTATTCATAGGATATTGTGGTGATAAAAGTACATTAATGATAGGAGCTTGTAGTTCTAAATTAATTTCTAATAAGGTGATAGACAGTGATAGCTGCTGCAACATATGATATGCAAGAGAGTTTTTTACTTTAAGATCATAATGTACTAGTTAGTAACCCTAATAGCATTCTGCTGTATTTTAAGGCAACTAAATAGCCTTTTACCCTGGAAGATTTTTTTTGTATTTTTGACCCCAGACAAATATTTAATGTGAAAATTACCTGAGTGCTTCACAGAAGTTAATTCCATCAGGCTGTGGTGTCACGTTAGACATGCCTTGCACTCATTTGTAGTGCACAGGGAGATGCTATTTTATAGCTGCCGGTCTAAGAGGCAGAGTGTGTGAGACGTGTGCTGCTCTCGGTCTTTCTGCACACTTTTTGGCCGGGTTCCCTCTCAGCCAGACCCACGCAGGTGCGGGCACCTGGCATCTGGGCGTGGTGTCCCCAGGAGGTTCCCCTCTCCCAGCCGGTGTCCCCAAGCCCTGCTGCTGGTAGCCTGGTGAGCGGCCAGCAGTGAGCAGCCAGCACCCAGGCGGGGATCGTGCCCCTGGGAGGACTCGGCCCTTGAAGGCAGCTGCCAGGCGGCTGTTCTCAAATGTTTTCGCTGCATGGACATCTTGGAGGCGATTTTCTCCTGCGGTCCCCTTCCCTTCCCTCCGTGGTTGCACAAATAACTTCCTTCTCCAGTCATGGTCCCACAGTGTGCTGTATCCAGCTGAAACGACAGGGGGAAATTCAGACACAATGCAATAAAGCAACTGGAATTTGTTTGTCATAAACCCCGAGGGCATGTTCTCATTACAACAACGAGTGGTATCCAGCAGTTACACTCTTTCATGTTTGCATTACATCCCTCTAAACTGCCGAGATTAGAGCCTGCTTTCAGTGCTGTCTGTAGGTCTTTGCTCGGTTTGACGGGGAGGAAACTTTTCAGCCAGGGCTTGGAACAAAGAGACTTCCTCCACACGACAGCCATTAATCCTACCCTCGCGGGTGGCATAATAGCTTCATTCATTGACCCAAACCAGTTGTTTTAAGAGGAGTGCAAGGGAGTGGGGGCAGCTTACCTCTCACCTGACAGGCAGCCAGCAGCACCCAGGGTCGGCAGCAGCAGGCACAGCCTGGCAGGAGGTGGAGGAGCCCGCTGGGAGCCGACGCCACCGCCCGCAGGTGCCTTGCGTAGCTGCCTAGTTCAGTGCTTCTTCTGTGCGGTCACACAAATACTTGACCAAAGCAGTGCTTTTTTTAGCATGTAAGAACATAGCCCATGCTGGTCTGCGCTGTCTGCTGAGGGTTGTGAAGAACCAATATTTCCAGGAAACAACCAAGATCACAGCAGCCACCACAGCCATCCAGGCGCTACCAGCATTGAAGCGCACAGAGCCATCTCTGCAGTTATCTCCAGAGAGCAGCAGTAACAAAAACTCACTCTCTTATAAAGTGTTTCCTGACTGAACTAACGCAGGAAGAACCCAGTGTTGTAATTAGCCCGTATCCCATGGGCGCAGCAGCGATTACTCCTGTAGGGTTTGCCTAGATTCGAGCATCTGATAGCGCAGCTACATTTACGCTCCTCAGACATCAGGGCTGCGCCCACACGGAGTGCCGGGCGCCTTTGTGCGCAGTGACTCAGCAAGTACAGTTGTTCTGGCAGATGCGTGCCAGTCCAGTATGCACATGCACAATGTTTTCCTAAGTGCACTGAACTTGTAGTTACACGGGCAGTAAAATTCTCACTCAGTCTGTGGGATTTATGTAGGGTTAGACTAACGCATCATATTTCCAAGTCATAAGCCACCAACAAAGAATTAGCAAAGACTGCTGCCATGCTCGGCAGCATGTTTGCACTCTCTGAGCTCTTAAAAATGCTGACGGTATTTTAGAAATCTTTGTCTTTCTGGATGGGGCTTCTTAAAGCTGCGAATTTCTAACTAGATGTGGAAGTGGAAAAAGTTGTTAGTTTCTCTTGTCCATGCTGTCCTGCCCCATTCCCTCCTTTCAGCATTGGCTGGCACAGAAATGCTTTTCTAAACCCCACCTCCCTTGGACTGGAGGAATTCCCCCATTTCTGTTTTGGACAGGTACAATGCGCACGGTCTCAGAGCAGGCGTCCTCAGGGGGAGAAGAGAACTGGCACCGGGGGCATTTTCCACGGGGAATAGGGGACTTGCTCTCCTCTCTTTGTTAGCTGTAGCCTCAGTGGAAGACACAAATTTAGGGGGGTACCTAGCATCCTGCAGAAATCTACTAGTAAATGGACTGAGGCAAATGGAAATATTTATTGCCAGGTTTCTGTGGATGAACTTGTAAAGAAATTAAAGTTAATCCCAAAGAGGGATGGATTGGGTCAAATGCGCAACTAAGAGCAGGGAGGAATACATCAAACTCTGGCAAACTCAGGCCAAATGCCATTGTTATTTGGTGCTTTGCATCTAGAGATCTAATGAGATAGAGATCCAAGCAGTAATCCACGCACACATGCGTGTTGGCAGTACGCTGCCTCTGCCTCGTTACAAACACAGCTGCTGAGGCAGGGCCCTCCCCACGTGTTCGCACAGACCCGCCACGGGAAGCTGAGAAGTCAGCTGAGACCTTTGGATGCTCACTACAGTGCAAATATCAGAGATAAGACATTGCCTAACAACATTTGCCACTGCTGAGAAAGGGGTGGGGTGTCAGCATCTTATTTACTTACGACTCAAGCAGACAGGTCCTTAACACTGTTGATCTTACAGGCGAGAGGAGTGTTAGATATGGGGAGAATTACAACAGTGGAAGCAAACGCTTGCCCTTGTGAATTCTCATGAGCTATATTTAGAATTTAAATCCAAGCATAATTAAACAGTGCTAATGAGACAGAGGGGCTTATCTTCATTTGGTGTATAATTGGTATCACTGATTTCCTCATTCATTTTTTCCTAGTTTTAAAGCCATCTTGTTCTAGTGAAATCTGATGGTAAAAGTTACCCTGCAGTGAGAAAGTACCTGGCCTGGAGCGTAAATTCAGCTGGAAGCCTTTTAAGGGTTGCAGCTTTCTTGATAGCATCAATAACTGACAGCAAAGACACCTGTGAATGTGTGGCCAACACTCAAGAGAGGCACTCCTCATGCAGTGTGCCCTTGAAAAATGCCATTTCACACAGGATTACAAAGGCCATAATGGAGAGGAAAGGCTCACCTCCTATTTCTAGTGAGGCAAATATGGGAAGAGTTTTAATAGTGGTAGGTGAATATCCACCACCATCAGCTGAGGTTTCTGCCTTGAAATATCCTCCAGCTCACCCAGAAATGTGGAGCTGGCACAGGAACTCCTGGTGGCGTTCGGTGGCTGCCATCTTGCAGCTGGTCAGAGCGGAAGATCCCGCTGATCTTACCTGGCCTTAGTGGCAAGCCCGCAGCTAGAGCAGCAGCCTCTGCTACAGCTCTGCCTGTTGCAGCCATTCCTCTGCTGGCTTTGTCTAGGCCACAAAAAAGTCCAGCCCCCTCCTGCTGCAGGTAGCTGTTGGTTTTTGAGCAGCAATAAAATCAGCTCTCGGAGCAGTCTATTTTTACCGATGTCCCACTTCACTTTTCAGTTGTGTCTTTGATTGGCTTCAGGCTCCTTTTTATTATGTCTTACTGCCTCAAATGCACTCAGATTTTTTGAGGGTGTAGTCCTTCTTTTACATCTATTGCTGCAAACTGCAGCAAAATCAGCTGTCTCCTGTGGGGTGGCACATTAATGACTATGTCTCCATACATCTCAGTGCCAGGTGCTTGTGTTTACCTGCTGACGGGTGCTCAGGACCACCGTTCATTCAGTGCAGACTGGATGTGCCTCACATCCTGGTGGGAGTGCTTGCAGCCAGCTGGAATCGGTTCTCAGCAACTGCTTGTGGAATAAGGAGTCTCCAGCCCCTCCTCCCTGCAGTGACCACTGCTAACTAAATGCCCGTCCACCCACTGAGCCAAACCAGTTCAAAGAGGAGCACTGCAGTGGCTGTGAGCAGACTGTTGGATATGAAGAGGGCAGAGCGAGATGAATCCCACAAAACAGCAATTGTTTTTCATCTTGCTCCAGTAATTCAGCACAGACTTGTTCTTTGGGTTGCTGAACCCAAGACTTTGTTTTGTCGTTTTTGAAAGGGGATTTAAACACTTCCCTGCTAAGATGGTTCTGCAGATTAATCTGAGACGTAGGAATTATTACAAGTATTTGGTCTAAAGTTTCCTTTGCTTAGGTTCAAGGGACCACGCTGACCACATCACCTGTAGTAAATGCCCCTCCATCTTTTCAAGGCAGCCTCCTTGGACCACTTGGGGCTGTGCTGCTGTTCCAGGAGGTGAGACTTGCAGCTGTCCTTCCCCTTTATCACTGCCTAGCTGAGCTGCTCTGTCAGCACGGTTTTAGCTTTCTAGGGGAGCAGATCATTTCAGAAGTTGTTCCTCCTCAAAATAAATGTCTTCATCTGCATATAAATTTCACAGAATGGCATGTCTGCTCGTGCTGCTTTTTCACATTTCTAGTCTGAGTGCTCAACCACTTAACACCGCCCTGTGGCTGAACAGCGATGAGAGATGCCACTGGTGACCCAAAGAAGTGAGAGCAGCAGCCAGCACAGGTGCTTGGCTTGTGAGCAGCCAGAGCTGCAACCACTTGGCTCTTTTTTTAGCCCAGCTAAAAAGATGCCCTTTTCCAGGAAGGTTTCTCTCTGACTTAGCTGTGAAGCGGAGTTCCTGTCTGCCTGTGGCTATGAAGAAAAGCCCTACGGCTCTCAAAAGTTGTGGTGACTTACGTCTTACCAAATTTTAAAATCTATCTTTGCCTTCTGCTGCCCTAAACATAATTTTCAATCACATTATTTTTTAAACCATCTTAGCTTAACTGCTGGGGAGCCCCACTGGCAGGATTAAACAGCTGTTTTGGTTCCTGCCAAGGGTGGGTGAAATGGCAAGCACCAGCTCTGCCTCCCTGGCTGCTGGGGGACCTGGAAAGGCACCGATGGCACAGCGCTCGCAGACAGCTGCAGAAGGCAGCTGAGGGCATCAGTTATTAGTTGCCTAATCAGTTCGAATTCACAAAGCACATTCCTACTGTTTGTTTTTTTTTCCTTTTTTTTTCTTTTTTTAGTGAGCTATATACAGGTCATGTTGCCTGCCCTTCTCTAGTGAAGCACACCTGCTGGATAAGCAGCAAAACTCCCCCTTGCATAGGACGTGGGGCTAGAAGCAAAGGCCTTGCACTTGAACCGCACTGTGTGCGCTCCCGGGCTGTTCTCAGCATGACAGCCCAGAGCAGAGGTTGCCCATGTTTAGCTCAGTATGCGATAAGAACAGCTTCCTATTACTCTTAATCCTTTTGAAGAGTTCTCCTTGAAGAGAGCACAGTGTCTCTCCTCTAACAGGCGACACAGGTGTGAGAGCAAGCGAGCTGCTATTGCAGCCTGCCTCTTGAAAACCACTTCTGTGCCTTGGGGGTGCCTCGGGTGTCGGGCATAGAGCAGTGTCTGTGGGTGCTCTCCCACCGGCTGGCTCATGGCCCTCCCTCGGGCCGGCCCGCTGCTTCTACCCCAGCCACAGAGCTCTGCAGAGGAGGTGACCAGGGCTTGCAGGCCATCAGGCAGCGGATGTTGGTGCCAGCATCTGTTTCTTTCTGCTGGGGCCCTGAGAAGTTCAGAAAGCCTTGGCTTTCCCTGGGAGGACAGCATCTGAGGAGTTCAAGGCAAGAGGTGACAGTAGGACCCCTCTGCTCTGTGGAGGAGCCAAGCAGGTTGCCCAAATGCGTTGATTAACAAAGCCATCTGAGTTCCCTGCCCTTTAATAGATCGCTTTCAGTGTCTATCTCTTCCTACACACCACAAAACAAAAAACACTTTTTTTTAGCAAGCCTGTGCTACCCTTTCTGAGTGCTAGTGCATGGCACCACCCAGAAAAGACACAGCTTTTGGGTGAATAAGGAAAGAAAAAAATGTGAGTGGAAGATGAAGAAGACAAGCATCTGAGATGCCCTCAGGCCTTACCCTACAATATTACCTCTGTCAGCAGCCGCTGAGGCAGCACATCTTTCGCAGAAGGGGCTGTTGGTGTATGTACTGAGAGATGGCGATGAGTTGGCCAAGGCTGGAGCAAGCACTGCCGCTAGCTGGTGAGTTCCTGGAGCAGACCACGCTTAGCCTGAGCTCCAGCAATCTGAACCTGCCAGGTAAGGTCATGCTAGTGTGCCTCTGTGTGAGTGAGGGATGGTAGTTCCCAACAAGCATTTCAAAAATATTTGGCTCAATTCTTCAGGGTTCTAGCTATCTCACCCCAAATTCCTCAAAGTCTTCCTACTCCTTTGTGACATGTAGTTTAAAGCTAAAAATATTCAGAAGCACAATGCAATCCAGAAGGATGTTATTTTTATTACTTTTTTTTTTTGCTAGGAAGGAAAATGGTCAAGAAGTGGGTTAGGAACAATATGTTCCTTTTCATTATTAAACAGGTACTTCCCAGAGACCTTTTTTTTTTCCCTTCTCTCTGACCAGGTGTTGCTTGTAAGATGGATAAGAAATACATTCCAAATAAAAATGTAACCTTTAAACAAAAGGTATTAACAGTATTACAATTTTTTTTGAAGTCATTTAGAGTTTTTAAAAAGCCATTTTGAATGCCCAGCATGTTATTTGGCAACACACAGACTTCCAGTTGGTTTCTATTTTCTTAGCAGTTGTAGTTGCTTTCTAACAGGATTTTATCCAAGTACTGTTTATATGTACAAAAACATCTCCTGATGTCAGACGTCTGAGCCTTAGGAAACCAGTGTCACTGCCTGGGACCTCATTTGTTCTGTTCCCTGTTTTGTGTGAACACAAGCCCACCTAAAGGCATAAACAGTGTTGTGAAATAACTTCTCATATCTTTTCTTACAAGTCTAGCTTTTAGCATCATAGTTGATTAAGCTTGACTAGTGTCTACTGACTGTTAAAACTGAGCCTCTGTTTATAAAAATGTCAACATTTGCTTCCAAATTTTTATGTTTCTTAAACAAGCTGTGCTATTCCTCTGTTAGCTTGATTTCCCAGATCTTTTCTTTAAATTCTGTAAGCATTGCCTGATGGTACATGCCAGCCCCTATCAGTGCACATCTCCATGGGTATGTAGAAACTCCACAATGGGAGGTCTGAAGCGTTTGGTTTGTTTTTAATGACTATTCTGAACATTCAGAAAATGGAATTTCTTGGGAAGTCAGCTTGAAGGATAAGGTGGAGATGGTAGCAGGGTGGACGCTGCTAATCTCAGCTACTGACCTAGCTGTGCGACACGCGGCACACACATTGCAGCATGGAGAAATTGAAGCTGTTTCTCTAATAGCAGGTGAGAATGTAGTGGTGTTTGTTTAAGATACTTGGCTGTTTGTGGCTAACATTCATCTAAGGAGCAAGAAGAGTGAAAGGAGCTGTTTGTTCATGAAATCTGCCAGCAGAGGAAGGTGCTTGATTGCAATGAGTGGGAAGAGACGGCTTCGAGGAGCTTGATCCTAGGCAGTGCTGTAAGTGTCCTTGCAGCACACCAGAAAGTCCAGAAAAGCCAACCCCCCGCGACCCCAATAGTTCCAACACCCCAGTCAAACATAAAGCCTGCAGCTCTACATGGCTTTTACTGATGACTAATAGTGGAGAAAGGGTCCTTGCAGTGAAATCTTGATTTATCTTCATTGTCTTCTCACCAGCAAGCCTATGTCAAATGCAGGCTTTGAAGCTTAGGTTCACAACTTATGTTGCATTTCATAGTTTCTGCTGGGGTTTCATAGCCCACCTATAAGCTGCAAATTCCATGAACAAAGTGTATGAATTTGCAACCACTTGCCTGCAAAGAGCAAACAGCTCTTGGACATGAGAACTGTTATTAAAATGGGTTGTTTTGTTGGCAGAAGTGGCTTTCACTGTTACCATAGGTTGCCCAAGGTGAGTCTGACCTCTGTGGTTTCTCTGAAGCTCTCTTGTGGGTGAGCTGAGCAACATTGGAATGCAGCTTTTAAGGATTAGCTGAGCCCAACAAATACAGGAAACTGTGCTGAGAAAGTAATACTACATTGCACAACAAAGGAAAAACCTTATCTTCTGATCCTGTAGGATAAAAGTTCCAAGGCTGAGAACTTGACTACTTGGTAGGGCCATACTCGGCTTGTAACTGCAGCATAATCACCTTTGCAGCCTTCTCTCAGGGCAAAATTCTGCCTTTGCAGGTATACGAAGGGGCAGTGGAGAGGTAGGTGTGTGGCCAACAGACAGAGCTGGGACTGTATTCTCCTGCTGAGGAACAATGATGAGGACTCTTCCCAAGGAATAAGGTAACAAAACATGAACCCCACCAAACCTTTCTCGATGAGAGCAGGCCTCCACATGCCAGTTCTGACGGGGCCCAGGCTGTGGCCTTTGAATTACGAGTCTTGATGGAGTTGCTTGTGCCAAGTGTATCACAAAAACACCACCTTGGTATTAGCGTGCAACTGAACTAACGTGCAAGGGATATTCCTAAGAAACACCACTTGGCCCTCAGAGTGAAATCCCAATGTGCTAGCTGTACACTGTCAACTGAATGTGTTCACAAGGCCTATGGATAAACGTGAGTTGAGGCTTCTGGAAAAGGATGTATTTATTCCTTACTAAGCTTACTGCTCCTTTCTGCAAAGCTCTTAGCAACTTGACATGTTACAAATATCTATGCTTTAACTTTTATGGAGCTTTCTCTCTCTGTCTGGGGAAGGTGATGGGGTGGGCAGAACTGTTGAAGAATCACCTGTGGTAAATGAAGTTTTATTATGTTTGATTAAGTGAGCAGTTTTTTGAGATCATTCTTGCATCTTAAATAATTCACTTTTAAAAAAAAAGTGCTATGGTGAGTGTTGGCTCCTCATACTACAGCTAAAAAACAGTTTCCATCACAGATGGTGTAGGCAAATCACAAAGAATTTTTGCTTTTACTAGAAGGCCCAGCACAGGGCTGTACAAATACATGTCATTGGCAATGCTCTGGAGAACATACAGAGCACGATGACAAAGCACGAATTACTTACAAACGCAGAAATATTTTGCGGTGTAGTTTTTGCCTACACCCATTACAGGATTCAAACCTAGACCGAAACAGATTCTAGGTGCCCAGCTCCAACTGATGAATAAAATCTGAGCTCGATGCCAGGGAGGCTTCCATGGTAGGGAGGGATTGTCAACATTTGTTTGACTAGTACAGACAAAGCCTGGTGTATAATTGAGGAAGACAAGACATCATGATCAAACATCAGCGATCCTTATCCTGCCCCTTAAATTTAATTCCATAATCAGCACTTATATCACGGAGAGGCTGTAGATATTACCCAGGCTTCTCCTTCAGCATTGCACTATCTAAAATGAGTCTTGCCTGTAAGGATCTGTTTTCTTCAAAACAAACTTTGATCCTGCCCCTTGCTTAGCTTGACAAGCTGCCAGCAAAATTCTGGATTTTAGGAATAGCTTAAGCTCAGCCCATTCCTGCCTTCAATCATTTGGTTTTACAGTTATCTGTGATTCCTCAAAGTACTATCATACAGCATCCAGCTGGCATCCATTTGAATATAGTTGTGCTGCTGAAGGGGAAAGAAAAAAAAGATAACACCATCATTAAGCAGCCTAATCTTGCAAATTCAGCAAAAATAAACTATTGCGCGCCATCTCGTGGCACTGCACAGCTATTTCCTGGCAACACGCTGGAGCTCCAACCATGACAGTGAGATTTAATGTTTGACAGGGTTGCTTAAAAAAATGGCCGTCAGGGTTAGAAAGAGCCCATTATACGACCACACTAAAGCTTCAAAGCATTCATCATCATTAACGCTTTATCCACACTTGCATCTCGACTTTGTATCCTTAGCAGCTGTCTCCTGGAGCCGCAGCAGAGCCTCAAGCTGCAGAATGCACCTCTTTGACATGTGCTTGTGGTTTCTCAAGCAGAGCCATAGAGATGCTCCGCACCCAAAAAAACAGCTGAAGCACTGAACACCACTGCAGCCTTTTGTGGAACAGGAAAATCCTTCCATCTTCCAGTAAGTCATATACACGTTAATCATTCTTAATTATATGCAGGACTTAAGAGATTCTTGGTATGTCCACCTTCTTGTCTCCTGTCAGCACAGGAAGAACTCCGTATGTTGATGTTTAAAATAAAGCTAGTGTGCTTATTCATAACTGTTCATTAACAGCTGAATGTATGAACTGATGGAAACAAGGTTAGACTAGCTGTCAGTCCCTTCATGTATCTTCAGTCTTTCTTCCTGCTTACTCTTCTAAAGGGGGAAAAAAGTCACTAAAGATCCTTGACATGAAGTGATTAAGCCATGATTTCCCTAAATCAAGCTAAGGAAATCAAACTACAAGGATAAAGTACAATATTAGGGGTTCTGGTCCTTACTTCTAAGTGACATGTTTTTGATTCGCACTTTTAATTTATTAGCTGGGAGATTAGAGCTTAAATTCTGCACCACTGAATCATCTCCAAGTTTGAAACTGTGTTGTCTTCAGCAGAACTGCCTTTCTTCCACCACTCACACCCATCAAGTCGCTGGATACATTAAGGTGTCTTCTTGATTGCGTTAAGTAACAGAAGTGCACGACTTCAGATTAAGCATTCTATTTTTTTCTGCTATTAGAGACAACTGCACAACTATGAAAGTTTGCAGCTTGCAGTTGGAAAGCACAGAAACATATCAGCTAACCTCAGGTATTACTCTAAAGGACATTGTGCCATCCTATAAGAACAATCAAAAAGGCATCTGATTACAATCAGTAATTACAATCCTGGTAACAATTGCTCTAAATTTGGTACGTGACAAACCTATTTCTACTGCTCTTGGGTTAAAGAAGGAAAATAATGATGAGGACTGTAGCTGGGAAGGTTGTAAATTTACAGGAAGGACTGCTAGACCTGTAAGGCTTTTTGAAGCTCAATACCAACAGACTTTCTTTATACACAGTAAAGGAAAGAGGGAATATCCTTATTCTCATTCCAAGGTTTAATTCTGAGGTATGTGATACTGGATTTACAAAAGTAAATACATTTCTGACAAGCAGCGAGCCCTGTACTTACCAAGGCAGAGAAGACTCCAAGCAGTTAAGAAAATAAACTGCTCACAGTGTGAAAAAGTAAAGGTTTTGGGGTATTTGACAGACCTTTAAAAGCATAACAGCTGATGAGGAAACATGCAGTAGTGGGCCAAAAAAAAAAAAAAAAAAAAAGACAAATACTTAAGTGATAAAGATAAGGCAGGACAGCAGGTATTAGATAAGGCTTCCACTTGAACTAATTCTTTGAATTGTTACGATAAGCAATTAGATGCACCTAGTATTCCAAGCAGTGAGCAGGCACACTGCGTTGCTGAAAGGGATTATGTGGCTGTGGAGACAGATGTGGGCTCCAGCTTGCTGATGATACTCCCAAAGTTTGAACATATTAGTAGCAAACACATATGAAATCCCAGTAGTATAGAAGGACTGGAGCAGTGTAGAAGAGTTTTCCACATCAGTTGCACCTGACACCTGGAGCTCAAGCACTATCACCTGGAGTACAGCACACATACCAGGTTATATACATGGAAGTCTACAATTAATCTGTAATTTTCATCCTGAACATCAATTTAAAAAAAAAGTTTGAAACATTTGCAGACAGATTTCATGACTCATTGCTACAACAGATCTAGCCACTTCTACTGACCCTGCTTCTACTAGGAAGTCTGGCATTCCCCTCTTAGATCTGTTCCTCTGGACATGAGCCCTTGTGCTTGAGAGAGTTAAGCTCAGAACAGTTGCAAGAATTTCAGCATTAAGCAAATAAACGTGCTATTTTGTCACATGGGATAAAATTCCAGGAATTTATTGCTGTATGTATGCTTAATCCATTAATTTGTCTTACAGTAGTCATGAAGTGCCAAATTGTGTGCTACATTTAACATTTCCTGCATTCCCTTCCAAATGCCATTTTACAGTGGGCGTGTGAAACAACGCAGCAGCAGTCACAAAACATGGCTTGAGCATCTCTCAAGAGCTCAAAATAAAGATTTGTGTACAAGCTGAATAACAAGATGTCAGTTAACAGGTCACTCAGCAACTTTAATAGAAATACCTTTAGGTGGAAGTTTTGCACTGTTAAAATTTACAATTCAGACTAAACATTCTCATCCCCACTGTAGTAACAAGATACTCGCAAAGACAAGAACTATGGTATGTAAATGTCACACGCAAGAACTGCTTCATTTCTATCAGAAGCAAAAGTTGCTAATAATAAGCAAGGAGAGGCCTAGCAGACTAAGGCTATCAGCCTATATTAAAAACATATACCTCCGAGTTTGGCAGTGGAATTCTATTTACCACCTTGAATTTTATTTTTATTTTTTTTGGCTAAGTACCAGTACTCTTCCTCCCCACCCACCAAGCACACTTTATAAATCCCCTTTATTTTTATTATACCTCCATATTATTTACAGGATTCCTAAAGATTAAGTACAAACTAGTATGAAATTAATGATAGTTTGCTCTTCAAATATGTATCCCATGGCTAAATAAATACCAAGCCAATTCAACAGAGTGATCTGGAGTTATGATTCAGAAGCTTGTGTATCTGTGATGCCAGATGTTTTCTCATTGACGGCCAAGGATTCACTTGATTTGTCAACAATAGTCGCCTTAGAAGTTGGGGTAGCACTATCCAAGGTGAGTGTAGAGGTCTGTTCTACATTTACAGTAGTGCCAGGGTCAACGGAAAAGCTTCCAGCTTGAGTCATGGAGGGAAGCAAATCTGTAGGCACTGTAGAAACCTCTGTGACCAAAGGAAGCAGGGGAACACATTTTGGTGGCATCGATAGAGGTGTTATTCCCATTAGATTCAGAGGCGGCAAAGACGGAAGAGTTGGCAAACCTAAAAAAAAAAGAACAAAAGCAGTGAGCTGCTACATATCACAGATCTGGATAGATTCTGTGTTAGTTTAAAACCTTCCCCTTCTCTAATCCTCTATTTAATTTCAAATGGCTACCTCTTCTCCAAGAGGAGCGTGAGCACAATGTACCTGCAGTACTGATTCGGCAGACGAGTTTCAAAGCCCAATATATTTTGGAGACAAAGAATCAGAATAAACAAGTTTGTTTCCGCCTCCCCAGAGGACTAGGACTTTAACGCATTAATACTGATGATTAGATTTTTCTGGCTTTCACTTAAGCTGCCAGAAAAAAAACTAACGAGAACCTTATTCCATGTAAGCTTTCCATTTCTTTTTGCTTGTTCCATATGTATCTTCAGCAGTTTTATTTTATTCAAAACCATAAATCTAGCATTAGTTGGTACTTCTGGCATTCAATCAGGGTTCTTCAATCTCCTTGTCCAGCAAACAAGAGAGCACCTCATATTTTCTTCCACCCATAAAACTACATACTTTATTTCTTGGCACAGGACAATCTCTCCTGGGGTTATAAATCAGGTAATATGAGATGAAACAACTAAACACAGACACAGGCTTAGAATTAGTTTATCTCAAAACATATTCCTTGCCTACCCAATCTGGGCACTAATGTCAACTCCCATCTCCAGCAAACATTCAATTTATCCTCTTTAGGACTCCACCAGATGGTTCTAAATGAGAGTGTCAAAGATCATCAAGGAGAGACCTGCTATTACAGTGTTTCAGTTTGCAGAAGCACTTACCAGGCTGTATGATTTCTGGAACGATGTGTGGTGCTGGTAAATTAAGTTTGGACAGATCAGTCAGGTTGGGAAGCCCTGCTGGTAACGGCATCAGACCTGAGAGGAGAGTGGAAAAATGACAGTTGAAAATTTCAAGCTTTTTTTTCCCCCGTATCTGGGATCTTATTATTTGAAGTTGTTTCATATTGCTTTACATCTTGATTATCATCTTTACATATAAAAATACAAATTCACTTGACTTTCAACTTCAAGTTACACAATGAAAAAAAAGTTACCAACTGCAGGAAGATAGGACTAGTAAATATACAATCCTAATCTTTCACATTTTCCTGAGGAAAACAGAATCTTATTTCAAGGAATAAACATTATTTAATTTCAAAGTTCAGCTTTTTAATAAAAGTTATTTCATTGCAGCACTGTACCAGAAGCCTTCCATTCCTAGCTTGAATGTCAGAAGATCATAATAATATGAAATACAGGAAAAAAAAAGAAACAACAGTATTAAGGATCGGAAATACTATTCTTAGTCTTTTCTATTCAGTTTATAATTGAAGTTAAACACAAAAATATATAGAAAAGGCAAAACAGTAACTTTCAAGGTCAGGAAGGACTAAAAATACAATACAAACATACAATGAACATAACACATGGCCTTTCATTATTGTGTTTGCTGTAAAACATCTTTCCCCTCCTGATTCTCCTGTCTTAGACGAGCTGTATTTCTGATACAATGGCTTTCTTCCTACTTTATAGTTAGTTCAAGGAAGTCTAATTCTGAGATAAATTGCTAATATTACAGTAGCAACAGGGAGAGGAGGCAGAGAGTCTAAAAGCAGGCAACTGTACACAAATTTTGATGAAAAAACATCTTTCTTTACCTATCTGAGAATTTATTAGCCACAAAGGCTGACATCATCTGAGTCAGAGCTTTCAGTTCAGCTCTAAGCAACTGAGGTTTTTTTAATCTGAAAAAAATCTGAACTTCGCACAAATTCACTCAAATTTTAAACCTCCTATATATTTAAGGCTTAAAATTTGCATGTCCATACTAGTGAAGTTGTAGTGCAGTATTCTAATAACTTTCAAAAAGGCTATGGTACTATTCTGAGAACAAATTGGAATAAAAATTCATATTTGCAGCTGTTTGGAGAGAAGGGTTATGGATGCAGGAAAGGAGAAGATATTAACAGAAGCTAAACTTAGTGGTTTACTATTTTAGCTATGGGGTACAAGATTAAAAGTTCCCTGCTCTTGTATGCAAGCACTTAGCTCCCCTACATAATATTTCCTATGTTACAGACCATACCTCCATGCATTACTTAAAACCTTTATCTACTTTTTTTACAGCCTACAAAACAAAAACACAGTTCCTTCAGTGTTTTGGAGTGCATGACTGAGTCCTGTACCAGTGCATCAATTACATGGCAAAATCCCATACAAAACTTACCTGCTATTCTGGAGCACTAGTGCTCAAAACACTGTTACCAGGAAATAACATACACTACTTTGGAGACAGACTATTGCTTTTATTATACAGGGTTTAGTTGGTAAATAATTCAGAAACAGTAACTGCAACATATAGTTCTATACTGTTAGCCGTCTGCTTATACTAAGAAGAACAATAAAGCTGAGCATTAAAAAGGAGTCTCCTAAAATTGAATTTTTAATAGGTGAAAGGAATGTAGGAACAGGCAAAGTATGCCTTCCCTGATCTTTTTTTCTGTCTTCATGTCTGAATGAAAAGAACAAACAGGAACTCTGAAGCTGCTAGCCAAAGTATTTTGCACCATACTGTTTATGACGTATGGCAAGTAGCAATGTATCAAATCAAGAAGTGTTGCAAGCACACCTAATACCTTCCATAGAAATCTAGAATGCTAAATCTACTGTGCAGGGGGGCCTGAAAGGTAAATGATTATCAGCTTTCTTGCTAACTCAGTCCTCTGCACTAGAACCATGTGTACGGTGGGTCTATATAAGAAAAAGCTCAAAGCATTGCAGAGATTGTATAAAAATGTTCTGATATGAAATGCCTAAGCTGTACAAAGCTATATCCTGTAGCCCCAAAAGAAGGGTGGAAAAAAAGACTCTTTGCTTTCTCCTTTGTTTCAGAAATGTTTTAAATGTTACCTACTCACCTGGTAATGTAGTTGCTGGATTAACTGGTGGCACGGAAGTAAGGGACTGACTGACTTGCGGTGGTAATAATGGAACTGTTGGAACACCTGGTGGAGTATACAGGAAAACAACACTAATTTTAAGCATACAACACTTCAGCTCCCTTCTTCAAGGGAGTATGTGCCTTAAATAACCATACAACACTGACGAAGAAAATCATTATTTAAAATAACACATATTTCTTATAGAAGTTACCAAATCTTTTGTGAGCAGTACTTGCATTATGCTTGTGTTAAAGAGAATATAACTAGTACAATGATCTAGCCTTTGTTGTTAAGTAAGGTTTTGGGAAGACAGAGGTTTGGGGAAGAGTCTCTCTTCTTCCTTTTATTAAATACATGCAAACACCTGTGAGTCAAACAAAAAGCCAATATACCTATGCATTTCAGAAGTTAGTTACTTCAACACTAACCTGTACTGAGAACATTACTGACAGTAGTTGAGGGTGAACTAATAGAAAGTCCAGAGAGACTCTGTTCAAGTCCTGCTGGCCCAGGGGGTAACGCCGGTGAAGGATTAACTGATGACAGCTGAACCTTTCCAAAAAGAAAAAGTTACATCATTAGGGTTTGTTTTCACAAGAACAAGTAAAAGCAGAAAAAAAAAAAACCAAAACAATCCATTTTACGAAGCTAATGGAATGACTACAACTTACCTCTGTAAAGCCGTCTTTGAGAGGACTGAGAGATGCACTAGGCAACTGTCCTGGGAGAGAGATTTTCTTTCCCTCCTCAAATGGGCGTGTAGGTATCCTATGCAAATACCCATAACCAATGCCACATCCTAGGCTTTTAAAACATAAACATTTAAAAGTCAGTAAAGCAACTTTATACTAAAAACTACAGCAAGCAAATGCATGAAATACCCAAGATGCCAACAGGTTTCAAGATAAGTTCTATACAAATGTCTGTGTTTATGGGAAAAAGCTAAATGTTGCCTCATTTTCTATGGAGAAGTAATCATTATGAGACAATAGAAAGGCAACTGTAGCTTTTAGCAATAAATATTTAGCACAAGTTCTATTGTTATTTGAACCAAGCAGCTGAATCAGGAATACACCTTGGCATTCAACTCATGCCTGTTGTTTGCAGTCCTGTTCTGGTACAGTGCAATACTGTACGAACATACTACAGCCTAATGAGTATTTGAAGTCTCATGCAGAAAGCAATCATTGCACTCTGTGCACTTTTGAACTAGCTAATTTCATCTGCAAATATATCCCCCCAATTAGTAACTAAATCTGAATTTCAAGTATGTATGGAATTTACTATAGCAGAAACACACTGGATATAAGAATAGTCTTTTCCTGGTTTTATAGGGAACTTAAGGAAGCAGGTTTTAGGCTACTGCTAGTAAGAAAGTTGCCTCAGCTCCCATGACGTATTTTTTCTTACCTGCCTTCTCCACCCCAGGCAGAATTTGGAGTAATCACCACTTCCCGACAGTTATCTGTGTCTGTGTTGTACACATAAAGTTTTAATGGCTTTGTTTCATGTGTTTCAATAAGGGAGAAGAGATCTTCAGACTGCAAAAGAATAATAACGAATGAGGGCTCCTTTGTCCTTATTTTATCACTTGATATGAGAATGATTATCTTCCTCGTCCCAACTGTCTGTACCAGAACCTGGAAATTGCTACATGGTGCAGTTGTTGCAGTGCTGCTGTTTTATCACAAGGACAACTTGAAGTGCTTTGCTGGTACAACTCAGAAGATATGTGGGACAACCCCAGATCTTCAATCTGCTATTTGATATATTAACATTAGAGTACAAAACGTTTGTATCTAACTTCATAAAGATATTTAAAAGCTATTTTAATTTCCAGAATTGCATTTAAGCACAGTGCAGGGGCAACATGCCAGAACACCTTCCTCTTGGTATTGTTACTTTAATTAGCAGTGAACAGACAGAATATGGGATATTTCAAACTGCCTAGGTACTGTTTTCTAGTTTAACAGAAAAAAATCAGTGTTACTTACGTACGTAAATACATATATATATATTTTATATATATAACTTATATAAATGTACACACCTCATTCATAACAGTATCTGCTCCAATGATATAGTCACTGTGAGGTCTGAGTCCAGCCAATGCAGCAGGAGAATTTGGTTCCACTTCCTGATTTTAAGATGGAAAGTTATGAAACATTACATAACAGTCAGGGTGCAGCAGAACAGTTACATATGCACTTCACACAAGTTTTGAGTGAGACAAACTGGTCAAGTTTTAAACCCAGTTAATGGAACTAGTAAACTGAACTAGTAAAACAGCAGTGAGGTGACAAGTCTTATTACACACCATCACAAGGAGTTCAGAATACTGTGCAACAGCACTGAAATGATATTTGATAACATACACAATTCTACTTCAAAAGCCTTTCAAAAAACAAAGCCAATGACCAGAAAACAGACCAATTTCACCTCGTAGTTTGCATACCCCCTTGCAAGTTACTTTTCTATAAAAAGACTGAAAACCATTAACAGTAAGCAACATATTTTGCAGTAAGAAAAATACTCAGAAGTCCGTACATACCAATACATGCCATACGTTTTCGTTGGCCCCATCGAAGCTGCAGAAACGAATGCTCACCCCCAGCAGGCCCTGTCCACCCCACATGTTGCTGGGGGTCACTGATGTTTCTCTGAGCTCCAGTGTTTTGCTACTGTACACTAGCATTTTTACAGGTTTTTCAACATTTGCTTTCAACAGGTCCTTGAGAGTGTCATTGTCTTTATTCTGTAAATGTTTGAAGAAGAGCTTGATTTAGCATTGAACACGGTGAACATCCGGTTCTATAGCATCACTGTTGCATGTCTGAAGTCCTATAAACACTAAGCATTATCAGAACGTATCTCTACAGCTATTTCATAACAAGCTTTCAGTCCCTTCACAATTCTGTAATACACCTCCAGAGAAAAACTGTTTCCCAGTAATAGATCATATATTCCAAATGTAAAAACACTTCAATTAAACCTAAGATATAATATACAGGAAATTGACATTTAAATATGGAGATATGCCTGTTTCCCGTTCATAAACTTGGTACTTTTAACAAAGTTCACATCAGAAACATTCAATTCCTACAACATTCAAGTAATTAATGACAGAATTTTTGCACTGATACTAGCTAGCTCCAGTAACTTGTTTTAGGATAACTTGTTACCCAAAACAGAGCAACAGCATTTTTGGAACTATCAGTTTGTGGTTTTTTGTTTGTTTTGTTTTTGTTTTGTTAAGGACCAGTATATCAACAGCATCTGAGGCCATGTTTGCAAGAAGACATTGGGAACACCTCTCTGGCAAGAGGGAGCAGAGGACAGGGACTGAGGCACCCCTGAACGAGCCAGCTCTAGATTCAGAAGCCATGTACCAGCCCCACATAGGACCAAAGCCGAGCTGCACTGCTCACAGACATCCTGGTTACAGGCTCAGTTACACCACTTCAAGTTCCAGCTTAGCATTTATTGCAGCACTGTTTTGCACGTGGACATATACGTTGCTCTGATTAGTTTAACAATCCTCAGGTAGTAGAATCTTAGGATATGTAAACATGGACCCGTTTACTCAAAACCCATGCAGGACATAATGTGCAATTCAAATTCTTAATTCTGCAAGTAAATCTGTATTATGAGAATGCCAGAAAACTGATTTGAAACAGCAAGTTTTGAGAAATAACTACAGGGCCTACTTGTCATGCTTCCAGAGAACAAAATCACTTAAAGTAGAGCAGATATTTCCACAGGAGAAAGAAAGAGCTCATCCCACTCTGAGCTCTTTCCGTATGTTCTTAGATACGCCCTGCAGCTTTGCAGAGTCTTTCTTGAACCAGCTTCACTGGCAGAGTTTACCCACAGCTGTTTTTTTCCACTGCTCTGATGGTTTGCTGTCTCACAACAGCTCTGCTTGAAAACTTTCTCACATGGTTCCTGCCCAACTAACAGCTTTGACAACAGTTCTTTTAACCAACTTGTTTTGACTGAAATGAGTTCACAAGTTCTCACACAAGCAGTTTTACAGATGGAACTGGAGGGGCACTCACACAAGCAGCTAGAGGTGGGTCAGCAGCTAGTATTACCTTCTGGCAGAGATGGTCGCACAGAGTGTCTGTCTGCACTCTTACTTTCCAGCATAATTTTTGATACAACTACAGTTATAAGGTAATGGAAATTGATTTCTGATGTAGTTAGGCATTCCAATTTTAGACCAAGGATAAATATTATATATATATTTAAATAAATACAATTGTTTATCTATAGAAATAAGATTCCCAACATGTTGCTTGTATTCAGTCAGTATTATAAAATAACAGCACACTTACCAGTCTCGAACCATTAATAGACACAATAAAATCAAAGAACGGCTCCAATCCAGCCCTGTGCCCCGGTGAGTTTTCTTGCACCTACCAGAAAATGAAACAGAGTTCAGCAACAGCGTACCAGTGCTGGTTTATAGATTAGAATTGTATTTCTGGCTGTGCTATGTGTAGTTCTAGAAGCTACTGATATTTGTACGTACCATTTTTAGTATGTTCAAATATAATATTTTGGATCAAAACAGTACCTCCCTTAAAAAGCATATAAAGATCACTAATTTATACTTTATTGAGGAAGGACAACACTAAACAATCACTGGGACAAACACTGCTTCAGCAGCTGCAGCAGTTAAATTGCAGACATATATTTCAAAAGGACATTATGGTCAAAGGGCAAGCATAACAAATTCTGAAGAAGTTCGTTAAAAAGCAGCATCTTTACCCTGACTACCAACACTGGGCCCTGCTTTTCATCTTACACTTATTAGAGGAAAAGGAGAGTTACATCTGCGTAAGCAGAGGTTGTTATCTCATGATTAAACATCACCTGTTGACATTCCTGAGAAATAGAGGGCATGTGTACAAGCTATGATTCATTACCATAGCAGCAAGCCACAAGAAAAGGGAAGGATACAATGTTGCAGCTATGGCAGCTCAAATAATTCAACCACTCCACTAGAACAGACTTAAGTGTTGGATATGCATTTCTCCCAGAATCTTAAAGTATGTTTTTAATTCCAAATGGAACAACTGAGACACATATTCTGCCAGTGCTGGCTTTTCACTGTTAGATGCATTGCCAATATAGACAAAAGAAACTCCAACATGGCTGTCAGATTTTTCCTACTGCCTTTGGAGCAAAGCATATCTATCTTTACTTGTCAATTGATTCATTTTACTTGCTGGCTTTCTTTTACATCCTACATTCATCTTCCAAATGCTCTAAAAAGCATCATCCTTTACAGTGTGGTTTCTTATATTACATGTTAATCCATCTGACAGAACTGGTATAAATCTGGTAGTTTGTTCAATACCAATCTAATTCTGCAGGAATTCAGCTTTCTTAGTATGACTCATTTAAAAGAAAATATTTTAATATGGAAAAAAAGTTAGATTACTACTGAAACTGGCCTCTTAGACTATTTATCTCTGCCTGACACAATCACAGTGTCAGGGCTTGGAAAAAACGCAGATTACTTGTGGGTAGCCTTCTGTAACAGATGCCAGAAGCCTAGAATATTAGTGTCACATAATCAAAACATTAACAAAAAATAATTTGGAATCAGTAGTTTCATTAATTGCTGTCAAAACTTGATAAAGCAGCCAACAAGTACAAATTAGACACTATTCTGACACTGTCAGCCAAAGCAATAAAAACAACTGAGGTAGAAATAACATCACAGAAAACCCCATTTCCAATGAGATCCTAACATGTGTCTACAGAAGTGTCTCTTCAAGACACCTGCATGCTCCTTGGAAATGAAAGGTATTATCCCTAGGTGCCAGCTATTAACTGCATGGGACCACAGCTCTCACTCACCAGCACAGCCCAGCAAGCCAGAAGCACGGGGCTGCCCCACGCTACGAGGCCAGTCTGTGGGTTCGAAATACCTCTCGCCAAGAGTCACTAGGGGTCAGAGAGCGAGCTGCACACCGGGTCAGGGGTGAGAGTACAAGCTACACTCCACGTGGTGGGCCCCCTGATGTGATTGCACAGAAACGCCTGGGCACACTGAGGATGTGTTGCTTTGACTTCAGTGAACTGTACCCAGAGCTCATCTTTAACTTTAGGTATTAAAACTTCCAAAAACATAGAGCCTCAGAACAGCATCCACAAACAAATTTTAGCTTAATAGAGAGGCTGGGTGATTATTCTGCTCAAATGTGGAGAGCATTTACTTGTTAAGTCAGGTACTCGAGGCTTTTCCACCAAAGAAAGGTTAAACAAACAATTTCATGAAAGCAGTAAAGTACTCCAGTTTCTGATGGACATGTTCCATAATTGCATTCTCAGGCTTGAAGTTTCTCCTATACTCGAGTTATTCAACACATCCTTTCCTTGGATGTGGTTCTTCTAGTAGCTAATGAAGGACGAGCTGTTTGTTGCTCAGTTTAGGGAGGGGACAAGAAAATGCTTTATAGGGTCTCCCTACCTCACTCCACCACCTATTTCACATTTTGTATTTTCTAATATGCCTGACAGGAAGGCTTTCCACCTAAACAAAATCAGCAGATGGTTTCAGAAAATATTGGGAGAACTCGTAAAGTCAGAAAACGTCATCTTAAACCTCATCAAGAAAAATGAGTAAACCCAGCAACCCAATACATTTCTTCAGATAACGTACCAGATTGTTAGACCTAGATACACGTCATGGCCGTGAAATCATGAAAAGCCAGATGCCAGCCAGCAAACAGCTGCAAAAGCAGCCCTGACACGGCTTTATTCAGAGATTCTCCTTATCCAGAGATTCTCTTTATTCAGAGATTCTCCTCCATTTCTAAATGCATTACTTAAAAGAAGAAGAAAAAGCCCAACCCCTCTGCCACAACATCCTTCCCACCACAACCTCACATATGATAGATGACATCCTGAACCTTTTAAACTAACGGTGACCTGTATTCAGTAAGGTAATCTTTTAAAATTAGAAGGAGCACCTACAATAAATGAGAATTACATATACTCAGCATCTATCAATGTCAGGCTCACTGACACATGAAATGGATGGATTTGGTATTCTAAGTACATTACTTACAGTCTGCCCAAAAGTGATGAAGGCACCGTGAGAGCTCCCGAGTTCTGAACGATTAGTTCGCAGAAATTATCTTTAGGTGTTGAACACTTTCCCGCATATCCATCTGAACCCTGAACATCTTTGCACAGTCTCTCTGTAAAAGAGCTTCCTGGCAGTTTCTGCAAGCTATCTCTGAAAGTAATCAAGCTCTTACAGCTGCATAAATCACACAAACACATGTACCTGTACCCCCCTTCTGTCACCATGTGTCCTCATCCTGTGGTGTACAGGTTCAGTCACAAAGTTTTGTATTTCCCTAGCTTGTTTGGGCCTGATGCCACTGATGGGAAAGCATTTTCATGCCTGACAGTCCCAGCAAAACCCCTAAGTGCTGTACTCATTCCATGTGAGAGCTCTTCCCCTCGAAGAAGCAACACGCTCAGCACTGTGTGACACCAGCAGTGACCCCACACAGCTCCATGCTGTGACCCCACGCTGCGCCATCGTGTTTTCAGCCATCCATCCATCCACTGCCCTGCACAGCGCCATGCACACAGCACAGCTTTCTGCTCCGAGCACAGGTCATGGTTCTCATCAGGAACTACAGCAATGAAGGGTAACTAGGGGTCTTAGGAAACACGAGGGCACAGAAACCTTGCTGCTCATGATGGAAATAAAGGTTCCACTTATAGGTACATAAATTCTGGGTCTCCTGAGCAATCCCGCTTTGTGCTTCTCTGCCTGTATTTTCCAAGTCAGTCAGTAATCGAGTAAGGACTGAGGGGGAAAAAAAAAAAAGTCAAGTATTGCCACTCACAACAGATGCGAGTGCAGGCAAGATACCATGCACAGCTGCTTAGGAAACCTAATTCCCTACAAGCCAGCTGTTACTGCAGCCGTGTAAGTTACAGCCACCTGTGGGTAAATGCTGTGACTTTCGTGTGTACAGAAAAGCAGCACAATAGACTACCAAGAAGAGCTGTGGAACCACTGCCACCAGAGGCTTTTAAGAGCAAGTAAAGAAAATATCAGGAATGCTGAAAGTCAGAAAGTAGAAAAGGGCTTTATGGCCCTTCCAGCCTCATATAATGCTGCAGGCCCTCAGCTTCTTGCTGAGGTGGCAGCACCCAGACAGCAGGGCTGCTGAGAACATACATCACACATGCTATTTCACTTTTAATTCACTGTCATGAATTAAGAAAGGAAAAAGTTTCAAGGGCAAGACACTAATAATAATCTATGTAACAAATAAGATTTTTTTTCCCATAAATACATAATATTTCTTCTCACTAAAAACTCAACGCTACCCCTCTGTAACTACATAGTATAGATTTATTTCACACATTACAGTAGGGCTGCTTAGCAACACAATGGTCACAATTTTAAGCCCTGAGCCTCCAATGCTACAGCACATGGAATGAGGCATGGAAACCATGATTCTCAAAAGCAGATGAAGGCTCTTAGCACTTTTGAAAGTCACACTAGTGTCCACTTAAACCTTTTAGAGCTTGGCTGCGAGCACTAAATACACAACTTCTAGGGAGCAAAAGCTTCAAAGCATTTTATTTTTCAAACAAGAAATCCTAAGTAATATTTACTTTATTACCAACAAAATGCTGAATAAAGTGTTTTTTTGTTTGTTTGTTTGTTTTTTTGTAGTTCTTCTGCACGCTCTGTAATAGGTAATAAAACTTCATTATGTATAGTCTATGAGCAATTCCTCTGTTAGGGCTTATAACCAATTTTGTCAGCTATTATAACACATTACACAGTATAACTGTATTGAATTTCCTTACAAACAACCAGCTTTTAAGAAAAAAAGCTTTATAAGCTTTTTATAAGAAAATAGATTCCCTCCGCACAGCACCAAATTTTATTTTTAACACACAGCACTCACATTGAGCATTTAAAAACCCAGCCCCCTTTAGAAAAGAAGAATCCTCTTCATGGCTACATGCTTGCATATCTACTACAACAAACTGAAACATTTAATTAAAAGTTAGAAATCTACACTTCAGGCAGTTGTTCACTATCTTTTTGTGAGAACAGCATATGACACAGCAACATACAGATCGCTAGCAGATAAAAATTCTTGTATTGCTTGTTTTTGAAAAAAAAAAACAAAAAAACAAAAAAAAAAACCTGTCAAATGGAGCATGGACAACGTAGCATTTGCAATGCCAAACAGGAAAGTTTTTCAAAATTACACTTCAGTCTGATTTGAAGAGCAGACGTAAGTGTCTACTGAGAAGACACAGAGGCAGACAGTCACCCTATTCCACCACGTAATTGTATGTTAAAAGGTGTATATTTGTTTCCAATGTAAGAAGAAGCTATGGTGAAAATCCCCAGAGTTCAGTAACAGTGCATGCTACCAGCTGAGGAGGCAGCAGTTAAAAGCAAGATTTATCAGCACATTACACAACCCAGTAAATGAAAGCCTAACAGCAGAAGCATGTATAACAAATAAAAATATGTTCTAAAGAACTGATTAAAACACAGGACAGATCATTAGGTGTACCTGTGAAGGGGCGATGGCAACAAAACAGTCTGCAACTTTATCTCCATCTTAATTAAAAAAAAAAAAAAAAAAAGCTACATTTCAGTGCCTAGGAACCCCAACAGCACAGTCCACAGCAGCTTGTCCCATCAAAGATGCCTGTGATGAAATTGCTTTCCTTCTACAATGCTTCAGTCCTGGAGGGTTCATATTTCCTGTTACAAGTGCACTGATAAAATGCCCACAATGAAAGCAATGCTGCATTGCATGTTAGCAGGAGCTGCCAAAAAGACTCAATCTTTTAAAGGAAAGTGAAAAGAAGTGAGAAATTAACGATTAACAAGTCTGTATTATTCCCTTCCTCTCTGTTCTCCTGGTCCTGCTTGGAGTGACTGGAATGGCACTTGCTCCCAGCCCCACAAGGAAGCGGTCAGTGCGGTCTGGATGTCTCGCTGTCAGAAACCTGTGACGTGCAGCTGCCTGGGCAGCTTCTGCGTGGCTCCCAGGCCTGCCAGTCTGATTTACATGAGCAAAACACCGCGCTCAGAACTCAAGTTTGAGCTCGAGTATAAAGTAGAAGACAGCAGGAGCACTGCTCAATGCGCTGCCAGAGGCTGGGCCACGCAGACAGGCCAAGCATTTGCGCAGAGCTCCTCCAGCAGCGGGAGCTGAGCTTAACATCGCTGAGCACCTTGCTACAGAGCACCAACTGCAGGGCTCAGCTTGGGAAAACTAAGTTGGGAAACTCTGCTCACATACATTTAAATTTAAACATTCCAAATTATAATTTTATGGCACTCCAAAGCTCTTCTCAATTTTGAATCTACAAACCTAACTAAATATAAGCACTGGCCTTGCTCCTATTAGGCTACGATCATGGTGCAATTTAAGATGCCTATCAACAGGAAGAATAATGGTTCATTGTCATGGCATCTGAAGACTTCAGCAGGAAGATACAGTAGTGAAAAACAGACATCAGTCTGCTTGCAACAGCCTGCCGGTCCTTTCCTGCATTTAATGGAAAACTGGCTGTCCTCTCACAAGTCAACTTCTTCAGCGTGCACCTACCATTTACAGTTAGAGACCAGTAATCAAACACTGCCACCTCAAGTCACAGAAAAACCATTACAACCAGAAGGTGCCTCAGTGAAAACAAAGTTGCCAGATTCAAGTAGAATTATAATAAAGGAAGTGGATTACGCTTCATAGAAGAGATGCGCCTCACTTTACTAACAAGCTCTGACCAAACCGTATGAACTGCTGAATCTGACAGAGCTGACGTTCTAACTGCACACCACTTATTTTACAGCCCCTGAGAGTAGGAAGATGGTATTTATGCTATCCCATGCTGAAGAATAAGTGTCTTCCGCAACATGCCTTTCTCACCTGCTATCCTAAAACAAGGTATTTGGTGGAGGAATGGAAAAACCAAAACGGATTCTTATACATTACCAACATTACAAAGGAGAAACAGACCGCCACGCCTGCAGCTTATGTGGCATCTTTTCTAGCAGACGAACGGGTGTTACCAGAATACCAACATTCGCTTTCCAAAAGCATCACCCAACATCTTAACACCTCAGAGACGACCTCTGCTCTCCCACACGCAGCTGCAGCTCTCCGCCAGCAGCCCCAGCCGGGCACGGCCCTGCAGCTCCTCCACACGCCTGGAACGCGGGGCCGGCCCGGCTCGGCAGCTGAGGCGGCCAAACCAGGCGCTCACGGGAGCCCCCGCACAGCAGCGCCCGCCGGGAAGGTGCCGTGAGGGCGCCGGGCACTGCTCCCGCGCCGGCCGTTGGCCTCCAGCCCCCCGGAGCCCTCGGAGGCGCTCCCGGAGCCGCCCGCAGGCCGCGGCGCCGCCCCGCCGGGAGCCCCCGTGCCGCGGGAGCCCGGCCCCAGCCCCGGCCGCTGCCGCCCCGCGGTGCCCCCGCGCAGGGCCGAGGCGGCGGGGCCCTAACGGCCGCCCTGTCCCTACCGGCCGCGGGCCGCCCCCTCCCGTCCCGTCCCGTCCCGTCCCGTCCCGTCCCGCCGCGGCCCTCACCCTCAGGACGTGGTAGCCCTCGGTGCCGCCGCCGGGGATGTCGACGCTCTGCGAGGCGCCCATGGCGGCGGGCGGGCGGGCGGGCAGCAGAGCCGAGCCGAGCCGAGCCGCGCGGTGCGGGGCGCTGCGGGCAGGGCAGGGCCGGGCAGGCCCCCACGGACGTGGCACCCGCTCCTCCCGCCCGCCTCGGCAGGGGCGGGGCCCGGCGGCGCGGGGCAGGCCGGGAGGGGCCGGGGGAGCGGCGCCACAGCGCCCCCTGGCGCCGCCTCCGGGAGTGGCAGCAGCGGGAGGAGGGGGCGAGGCCGCGCGGTGCCCACGAGGGGCCGCGCGCCGCCCGCTCGGCGCTGGCGCCCCCTGGCGGCCCGGGGGGGGAGCGCTGCGGCCGCCGCTGCCTGCGGCGATGCACGGAGCTGGGCGGGGTCGGGGCACGGCGCTGAGGATCACAATCACAGAATTTCTAGGTTGGAAGAGACCTCAAGATCATCGAGTCCAACCTCTGACCTAACACTAGCAGTCCCCACTAAACCATATCCCTAAGATCCTGGGTATCCTGAAGGTCCTGATGGAATCCCGATGGAATCCCTTCGTTACAGGTGGAGTTAACCTCGCGGATCACCAAAGGCAGCAGCACAAAGCAAAAGGGCAAAGCAAGGAACGCGTAACTAAACTGCGTCTGACAAGAAATCCTGTGCACTTCATAGGGAACGAGACACTTACCGCAGCACGGTGTAACACCGACGTGAGTCAATAAAGGAAAAGTCTCCCAAACGAGGCCAAGACTGTTACCAGCTGAAGCTCGTTTCCTGCTTCCGTACATACACCATTTCAATTCTGGAAGAAGTTCCCAGCCATATTCTTTTCTTTTTTGATGTCAGTTGTTTATGATGGACAGCATCACAGGACATCCAGCACAGCAGTTTTGGTTCGCTTCCCTTTATCCAAAGGCTTCTGCGGGATCCACAGCTGGTGGCCAGCTGCCACCCATGGTCATTCTTCTGTGCTCTGCTGGGAGAGCGGCCCCTTATGTTGCTAGGCAGGTGCCATCAGTTTTGAGGACTGCCCGTAGGTGTTCCGTGCCCGCGAGGCAGATGCTAGGCAGGTGCTGCCCTCCTGGTCGGCTGCCTCTGCCATGCCCGCCCCTCCTTTGCTGTCTCTGTGGCCAGACAGTTGGCAGCTGCTGCCTCGCACTCAGCAGAGGCTGGCCATGCTCGCTGGCATCCTAGCTCCCCGTTCTCTCTCCCACTGGACTTTCCTGCCCTCTCTGCAGTTACGTTATTTGTAACATGGCAGATTTCTGCACCTCTCAGCACTAAAGGCCCAGGCTTTGATTCCCTTTTCTCTCAGCCTTTATTATTGCTTCCTTCAGTCACTTCCCGGCCCAGGATGGATCAGTCACACAGCCAGGCTCTGGCACTGACTGGCTGGGGACACATTTCACTGTCACACTCTCACCAGACAGAGGAACTCAGACATGCCTGAGTAATGAAGTGATCTTCACAGAGCAACCTGAAAGGAGCTTTGGATCCAGCCAGGCCCCAAACTGCTGGCTCTGACACTGATCATCCAGGGTGTTCCTGTGGGTTTATCACATTATTTTAGACTTTGACTTTGCTGATATTTCATGTGCTGGTTTTAAATATCAGTGGTTGTCAACACCTTCACCCCTTCACAGCTAGGCAAGTGGCACATCAGCTTTTTGGTTTGCTTCAGCTGGTCCCAGCTGGACCAGTTCTCCTGGGGCACCCAGCTCAGATACACCAAACTGTAAAAATGCACTGAGCTGTATCAATTCAGAAACTACACAGTTAAAACAGGCACAGTGTCATGCCTAAAACCTCAGGGCTAGTGGGGAAACAAGGCAACAGAGAATTTGTGATTGTGAGTCTGCTTGGATGCTACGTCCTCCGAGAGCTGGTAGGTGCTGCTGCTTTAATTATCAGTTTGTCTTATGCTCACAGACACAAATAAATTCTGTTTCCTTCTTCCTCAGGAGATCTGTAAATGTCTCATGCCTGCATGTGGTGCACCCCTTAAGAGAAATATTAACTTGGCACCTGTCTGGAGATGTAAGCCACATGCATTACTGCAAGGCCTTAGATGCTTTTTTGTAGGAACATTATTAGCCTTACCACAGCATCTCAGGTTTCCATCAAAATGCTGTCACTCCATTTGGGCTGGTTCCGCTTTGGTGAAAAAGGATGTTCTTTGTCGATGTCCACTGACTCCCATTAAAGACTGAACTGAAACACCAGATTTATCTGATGAAGTATCTTTGGTCTGGGTCCAACGTTCTATAGTGAAAGGCTAGTCTGTAAAGAAAAAGAACATTTAAAACCCTCTTAAGTGAAAAGACACAAAGCCTACATGGGAAATATGGAACAAAATTGGCTGAAAATATCACTTAAGACCTAATGACAACAAACTTCATCTGCAGAAATTAACTAACAATATAAGCTACCTGTTCCTTTCTGTATGTATCTCAGCAGCTGCATTTCAAAAGTAATTAAAGTTAATGAGCTGTGCTTTGTGGTAGAATCATGAAAACTTAATTGGCATAATTAGTTGTGAGATAGCAAGCGCATCTTCCTGGATAACAACATGTCATCATTTGATAAGAATAATAATGAATTTAACAAATAAATCACAGCCCTTCTAATATGCTAGTAAAATAATGAAGGAGAAGAAACACATATGTGCAAATGATGAATTATTAGTCTGGAGATGGCATATAATTGTCTGCATGAGACGGATGTTGAAGTGGCCTTCTTGAAACTGTCAGCGAAGGCTCTTGGCTAAAATCCAGTTCCCAACAGATGAGACAGCCATGCTGACCTTTGGAGAGGATGTATTTCAAATGCTTTCAGCACAGGCCAGCATCCCTCCGCAGAGCAGGAAATACAGTGACTGAAGAAAAGCAGCTTACTTTCCCTCCTTAATCCCTTCTGTATTGTTGGTGCTGGGCAAACAGGAATAAAGATAGATGGAGAAACCAGTGCATGTGAAGCAGGAAGGGAGCTACTGAAATAAAAAGCACTAGCCAACAGGTTTGACCCAAAGCATCCAGGGGCTAAGACAAGCAGAAAATGATGATTTATTGCAGAAATGTCCTTAAAGTGAAACATACACAAATACACCAGAACAAGAGCTTTTGAAGCATTATTAAGAATCAGTAAATCATTTTAATTAATGTGTGCCTTTAAAACTAAATTAAGTGAATATTGCCAGAGTTATGGGGAGGCCTGCATCTCCAGTGGATAAGGTAATAAAAGGGATCGTCCCAGTAATCAAACACTAAGAGGAGACAGTTTTAGGCAGAAACAGATCTGTCCAGTGACTGAGAAGAGGATGGGACACAAGAAAGCTCTTGGTCATAGTATCTTTTATCCCTTAATCAACCTCATTCATTCCTGCTGTAAACGTATTGCCCAGCACAAGGAGCTGCAGGTCAGAATATCTGCTTGTTGAGTCCAGTCACAGCATAGCAGGACTGGGGTAGGAAGGAGCCATAAACAGTCTGATGTATGTCTAAAAACAACTCATCTGTTAGCAGTGCTCAAGGAGATTTGATATCCTTTGCAAGAGTGCAGGGAGCAAACCATGGCCACTTGGAAGGCATCCACCTGGCTTAGAATTTCACATTACTAGAGGGCATAAAGCACAGATCCTTCAGCTCCTTGGAAAAGTAGCTCTAGGCTGCACAAATGGCTGCTAAAAGCCTGCTGACACAGAGAAGCCTTAAACCCATCCATTAGGCTGCACTAGAACTCACATACACTATTCACTGCTTTAGTTTAGGAGCCATAGGTGTTTTGGGACTGAGGTTATCTAATAAAAAGGTAAGCAAGCTAGGGATGGTCAGCATTTGTGCAAATGTGAGAGTCGTGAGGCTGAAGAACCTGTGCTTGACCTGCTACTGGAGACAGTTGTGAAAAGAGCAGACCATGTGTGAAATGTAAAGAGAAGTAGCATTGAATCCCTTTGAATGGAAGCCAAGTGTTAGTGAGCCTCAGTCCAAATAACCCCTTACAACTAGGCAGGCTGTGATTAAATACTATGGTCTGATGCTCTAAAAGTTAATTAAATGCAGGAGTAATGTGGGGCTTTTTAGAGCTGTTTTTATGGTCGTTAGTTGCTATGCAGCTGAAAAGAGAATGAAATGCAAGCGAGGAAGGCACTAGCTGGACAGGTTGCTCTCAGACGCAGTCTTCCCAGGGACAATGCTGCAGGGCTTGCTCTCCTTTGGGCTCAGCAAGGCACAAGAAGACCTCTCTGAACTCAGAAAGCCAAGTCTTGACCTCTTGACATTTTTTACCACTATAAAAAATCCAACAATTTTCATCGCATTATTGCTGATTTACACCATTGCACAAGGGAGGGGAAGCAGTTTGTGTGAGACAATTAGGAAAGACTTGTCCCCCCCAGAGAAAGAGCTGGAGCTAATAATCCCTCAACTGAAAACTCAAACTTGCAAATACTGTGACATGCAGCAGCTTCCTTATGTCAGGAGGAGGGAAGAGCCACAGCGTCAGCAGGATCAGACAGCACACTGCATCTCTGTAGGGTGGCAGATAGCTGGCAGAATTGCTCTCTGCTTTTCCCCCAGAGCTCCTGGCATGAGGACATATTGGAGATGTAGTCAGTGTTGTCATGCTCTGGTTATTATCAGGAACAGCTCCTCTGGCTGCTGTAATTTGCTCTGAGGACGGCAGATGCCATCAACAGATCAGAGGGAGAGGGATTGTAAAGGTAATCTACAGCCTTCTTCCTCAACTGAAGTGAGTCCAGAATTGAGACTTTTATTTCAGAAACCAGAAATTCAGCAGAACTAATTTGTGGAGGTGCTATTAATAAACCACAGGAAATTAACTAAAACTTTAATTACTTTGGCTAGTAGAAGTGATTGGCTGTAATATGGATTAACTCTGCCTTTTTTTCCCAAAGCTGTTGAAGCCCTAGTTGTTTTCTTTGAGTTGGACAATGACAAGTAGTTTTCAAATAAATTTGTAAGGGGCATGGGTTTGACTATTAATGTATTATAGTAGTCAGTTTCTGACAGAATAGCTTTTTATAGTCTGACAACCTCTACTTGCTTCCTGTGGACACAGTGGTTTCACTTAAGACTAGAAGGCAGCAGATGAAATCCCCAAATAAACATCTTGTGCTTCCACAAAGATTTGAAAATGTGTGCTTCGATCTCGGAATGGGC